GAATGGTTTGGGTTGGAAGGGACCTTAAATCTCATCTGGTTCCAACCCCCGTGCCATGAGCAGGGACATTCAAGTGGGCATTCTGAAGCCATATTCAGGCATTATGCAGCTCAGAACGTTAGAAAATGGACCATGCCAAAGTGCACTTAAAGAGCACTGGAGCTTTTTGAAGTTTAGCTGAAGCTGAGCATCTTTGGAGACAGTCTTGCAAACAAGCAGGGAAGCATTAGACTCCAACTCCTTGCATCCCACCAACCTTGCTCTTGTAAGCCCTGTTCACACACGGCGGCAGCTCACCTTCCCGCGCTCAAGCTGCCAACCGTCACAAGCAAAAAGCACTAAAGCCATCAGCAACCCGACATCTGCTGGCTCTCACGTCCTGTCACTTACAGCGCTCTGGGTGGCCTGGCCAGAAGCCACCTTTCCTGCAGGATCCCCAGGAGGTACCCGGTTCCTGGCGGGGACAAACACACCATGACGTGGGACGAACGGAGAGAGCGACAAGGCATAAGGAGCACAGTCAGGGCAAATTCTGTACGTGCAGGACCTCCACGGCAGAGTCCGGCCTCCAACAAGCTGAGAACATGAAGCCAAGAGACAGGCAACTACTTCCCAGGAGCCCACCTGGCTCGGCAGCGTGCGGTCCCTTCCAGTCGCTCGCTCCAACATGCCAGTCACATGTTTTACAGAAACCAAGATCTCTATCTTGCTGACAAGTTTATTGTACGTTCTCCTGGCAGGTAACCAAACCAGGATTGGTCCTTGTCAGCTCAGCTGAGCTAGATTTTATCCTCTGAGATCCCAAAGATCCACATCCTGCAGCCAAGCCTTCCCTTCCTCCTGGGGCTGTTATCAGGCTGAAGCGTCTTTACTTCTGCTGGAATAACAGCGCGCGAAGACGAGCACAGAACAGCGGTCACCAGCAGCACTCTGCGGCCTCTCCCCCGCCCCCTGCTCAGAATGGAGGTCAGCAGGTCTCCTTCCAGCCCCACGCACCCATCCTGTCCCCACCGGCAGAGCCGCCGGTGCCGGCAGCCTCTCGCAGCAGCCCCAGCACGCCCCTGCAGAGCTGCAGACGGTCACTGCCGTAGGTGAGCTGGCTGTGATACCGCTCGGAGGGCTCTCAAAGCGGCCAGGGAGCGGAGGAGCAGCCCTGAAGGACACCTGGAAGAGGACAAGAGCTCCAGCTCCCTGCCACACGGGCAGCCTGGTCCCCGGGACGAGCAGGGCTGGGGCTCTGCCCTCCACCCACGGATCTGGACCGTGTCCCATCACACACAGCCCCAGGTTCACCCTCATAGTCCCGGGTGAACAATGCTGTCCCAGTCGCACAAAAGAGCTGGGAAACCATTTTTTATTTCGACACAGGAACAGCATTTCTCTCTCTCCCATAAGCTCAAGATCCAGTCCCAACCCCACAACAAACAGCGGCTTCACATATCTGAGCTGCCTAGAAGCAGCAATAAAGCTATTTTTCCTGAAAGGCGTTGAACACCAGCAGCCCACCGCAAAGTCACACGCGTAAGTTGGTCCTGCAGCCACGCTGTCCCAGCCACCCTCCCACTCCCAACAGCCACAAAGGACGTGGACCGGAGGACGTGGCCTGAGTCAGCTCCGTTTTGCTGGCGTCTCTGCCGTCGTCAGACAATCAGTGGCCAGACAAGGGGACGGAAAAAGGAGGCTGAATTTCCACATTTGAAGAAAAACACAATTTGCATCTCACAGCACAACCAGTCCAACTGCCAGCATCGCCTCTCTCCCTCCCAATAAATCATCAGCCCTGACTGTGAGCACAGACACTCGCTGATCCGCAGGAACTCGGCGCTTCCCGGCTGTGCCAGACCTGCTGTTGGTCTCGCCCAGATTCCTGCCAGGCACCAGCGAGCAGACGGAGTTTCCCAAGTCACTGAAGTTTCACTCAACACCACTCTCTTGAGCCTGGAGCACACCTTAACGGACCTTTCAGCAAGGCCAAGGCCAGGTTTGGAGAGGCAGATGCTCAGCAGGAGGTGAGCTCACCCGGCAGGTCTGCCTGGAGGGAATCACCCCAAAAGGTCCGGCAGCTGATCACCGAAACCAGCATCAGATTTGATTTCGACACCCCCCAGAAAAGAAAGAGACGTTGGTTTTACCAAAGAACTGCAGCTCCCAGCTCACAGGAAACGTCTGCTTCTGCCCAACTCAGGCCAAAACCAAGTTTCTGCCAAACAGAACCCTTGTTTTTGGCCGGTTGCCTTGACGACATGCAGCAATCTCTTGGGAAGAAACCAAGGAATGTGTCCTAAGACTAGCTCCTTCCTTTTCAGGCATCAACACTCGGCCTCATTACCCAGACTAAAAGCCACAAACATCCTCTAGGTTAAGAGTGAACAGAAATCTTTCCATTTGCCACAGCATCTTCTAAACCCCGGCTACAAAGTCCAAGGACACTCCATGCTTGCCACCTCCAGCGAAGAGGAGAAGGGAACTGGAAGAAAAAACCTGGTGTTTCTCCCACTACACTGCCACACGTCATTTTACCCAGAAACTGGTGTCTCTTCACTACTTCTCCTTAAGCTGGATCTTGTTTTCCGAAGGGTCCCCATTTGTTTCAGCCTCCCGAGCTCTGCAACATAACAGGCAGTTCCTCCTTTGCCTTTCAAAAGCTCTCTTTTCAGGAACGAGATCTTTGCGCAAGGTCTCATGCAGGACCCCCCCCCCCCCATGTAATTCTTACGCCGTTAGTGCGTCTCGCAGTATTTAGCACGCTTCATCTTCCGAGCGCCCGCAGAGCAGCAGAGTTAATGCTATTAAGCTGACAAGAGCACAGGTGGAGAAGCTCCATGACCTGCTCAACGTTGCACAAATCCAGCGCTGAACAGACCCAACGGTTGTTCACCAATTCCAAAGAATCATATGATGCCTGAGGTTGGGAAAGGACCTCCGGAGGTCTCCAGCCCAAACTCCTCCTCCAAACAGGTTCAACCTGATCAGTTGCTCAAGGCTTTCCCCGGGCAAGTTTCAAAAGTCTCCAAGGATGGAGATGCCACCACTTCTCTGGGTTCCTGTTCCAGCGTTTGACCAACCTTTGGACAACCCAGTCGCCGCACTAGCCTTGATCTCGCCTCCCTTCCTCCTTTTCATGCTGCTTAAGGACAGCTTCCACCGCGCACCACTTAATCGGCTCTGCGTCCTTGAGGCTTTCCTCCCTCACCAGCCAGGCTGCTGTGCCGCCAGCACCGCCCTGCGTGGCGAGGTCGGCTCCGCTGCCAGCGTCCGAGGCCGGGCTTACCTAAGAGCCTCTGTCCTGCTAAGTTTCGTGTGCATTTTTTGCTCCGTCCTAAGATTACCCACAGCTGCAGCATGTCTTGATATTTTCACCATCTATACCACACAGCTGATTTGGTGTAAATCAAATTAATACCCCGCAGAGCCAAGAAAACAGCTGGAGTGAGTGCAAGCCAGCAGGTATTTAAACAGCAGAACAACTCCAGTCTGATTAAGCATTTCCCTGTAGGAGCACAAGGAAAAACTACCGGAGCGCGGAGCGAGAATCAACACTCCTGCTGATTTGCTTATTCGGGGTCTCACGGCTGTCACGCTCCGGCCTGCCACCTGCCTTAGGCGTGATCGCATGAATCACAGGATGTTCAGGGTTGGCAGGGCCCTCTGTGGGTCACCCAGCCCAACCCCCTGCCCAAGCAGGGTCACCCAGAGCAGGCTGCACAGCACCACGTCCAGGCGGGGCTGGAATATCTCCAGAGAAGGAGACTCCACAGCCTCCCTGGGCAGCCTGGGCCAGGGCTCCGTCACCCTCAGAGGGAAGAAGTTCTTCCTCAGGTTCAGCTGGAGCTTCCTCTGCTTCAATTTGTGCCCGTTGCCCCTTGTCCTGTCGCTGGGCACCACTGAAAAGAGTCTGGCCCTGTCCTCCTGACCCCCACCCTGCAGATATTTAGAGGCATTGATAAGAATGAACACTGCCTTGTGAGAGCAGGCAGTCGATCTGACAGCGCTGAGCCACGAGAAGCAGCACTCCCTGCTCCCTCCCCAACGAGAGGCACCCCGTTCGAAGGATCTCCTCAAACTGCACTGCTCAGCGCCTGCGGCGCCCACATGGATCCAGTCCATCAAATATTTAGTCGAATTTAGGTAACGGAACGTCAAACAAGCCTTCCCGCTATGGAAAAACATCCACATCGCAGACCTACAGATCGGGATTTGTCACCTCAGCGTGCTGCTCTCAGAGCCGAGCAATTCCCGCCTGCTCCTCCGGCGCAGCAGAATAACCCGCTCTTTCAGCACGACTCGGTCTTTCTGCCGTCCAGGTGCCTTTCACCAAGCCATGCGAAGATTAATTCACGATTTAAGGCTCACAAGGATCCAAGTCAGATCCCAAGCAGCGAGAAAACCTGGCATTTGCTCCAAAGAGACCTGGAGCAACTGACATCTCACGGATCTTCAGAGATGCAGCCGCGCATCCAGAGCGGGCAGCCAGGCGGTACCATCCTGCAGCGGGGAGCTGAGTCCTTGCTGCTCTCTTTCTGCCTAAGGGACTCCACATTCTTGAGCCTCCACCAACAGATCACTAACGCGGCGAAGACACCGCTGCACACCGTATCCCAAGCCCGGCAGCGACCACGGGGAGCTCAACACAACATCCAACAGCCGCCAGACACCGCGAGCAGAGCTAGCGAGGGCGCAAGTCCGCAGCCGCTCAAACCACGCAGCTCACCTCGGTTTGCTGAATACCTGAGATATTTCTCTTTCCGTTATCACACCTCCACGAGGCGACTGTGGGAGAGGCCCTGCGGTTGTCACAGGTCATATCCCCACCCTCATCTACTCAGTGCACCGGCACCCAGTGCCCCCGCCCCGAGGGAAAGCCTCTGGCTCTCAAAAGGACCGGAGAACGGCTGCCCACCTTCCCACCCGGTGCCTCATGGAGCACCAAGCCAGAAGCCGCGCCGAGCTACGGCCAACCCCCCGCCCCCAACGGCCGGCCCGCTGCCCCAGGCCGGTACCTTCTTGCGGCGCGAGCCCGTCTTGCTCATGCAGGACCTCTCCAGGGACAGGTACCCTCCGATCACTTCGATCTCGTTCACCGTGGGGTAGCGCTTTTTGTGGGACATCCCTGCTTGGGGCCCGTCGGCGTTCTCCACGGCTTTGCCTTTTCCTTTGCTCTCCTCCTCCTCCTCCTCCTCTTCCTCCCGCTGCAGCCTTCCACTGGCATCGGGGAGAGCCTGCAGCGCCGAGGCGAGGGGCTTCCTTTTGGGCACGACGGTGAAGGTGCTGCCTCCCCTCTGTGGGGGGGCCGAGTGGGCTCTGTAGAGGGGCACGGAGGAAACCTCCATCTCCAGCTCTGGGCCGGCTCCTCCCGGCTGCTCCGCCAAGCTCCCCGTCCTCGCGGCCCTGGGAGCAAGCTGCCCGCCGTCCAGCTCCACAATGTCATCGATGAAAGTCACGGGCACCGACGGATCCACAGGCACCAGCCGGGAAGCGATGGGCTCCTCCTGCTCCGGGGCGGGAGCCCTCGGCGGCTCCTTCGACGCCTTCTCCTCCGAGGACGGCGGT